AATGTGACTAGCTTTTAACCTTTCAGTTTAGAAGTTAGGAATGCTTAGGGAAGGACCATTGAGGGCACATGTGTGAGTTTGGTGTTATTTTAGAATGTCATACAAGTAACGCATCAGTTGCTTTAATATATTTAAAAGAGTTACTGTACATGTGCTTTAATGTATTTTTTATTTCGACAACAAACACAGCTGGGTTTTTGAACTCAACGTATGCAATGCGTAATATACAGAGTCTTCATGATGGGATTATATATTTCGTTGGTTTGTAAATAACTGTTGTTGGAGCTATAAAATACATCACTTCCTTTGCCACAAAAAGGCTAATTTCCTTGAAGACATCACTTATTATTGCACATAATCTGAAAATACCATTTTAATGGAAACATTTTAGGAAAAACCCTGAATTGTAAAATTGTAGCTTTCTGAGATTAATTTAGTCACATAATAACATAACAGGTGAAAAATAAACACCACTGCTATTCAACATTGTACTGGCAGAGTATAACCCGATCGAACAATTCTCTGGAGGTTGATTAATGAGTAACTTTCATTCATCTTTCAAGTTATGATTAATTTAAAAGAGATTATATATTGTCACTGTGATTTAATGCAATGTGAGTCTCTGAAGTTGTATTTAGTGCTGAAAGAAAGTGATCAGAGAATGTTCAAATGAAACTCAATGAAGTGAATAAGACCATCACTTATTGACTTTCTGTTATCGATCAATAATTAATTAAAAGAAAGTACACAAAATATTGTTTGCACACACATGCAAACACACAAAAAAATACATGGATTGGTTCCTCCATCTGTAGCTTTCTTTAGTTGATCTGTTCGTTTGTCCACTTTCACACCAGAAAGACAAATACTCAGTGAGACAAAATACACCATACAATCAAAATGATATAGGAGGAGCATACCTTAAGTATTATTTTTGAAAGCATACTTTTTTGTCTTGATGAGGGATGGACATACTCAAAATGATAAAAATGTGTGAGTCCGTCAACTGAACGTCCACTTGGCAGATTGGTGAATCGATTCTGAATGTTGTCAATATCCCATTACCCCAATCTACACCTCTGGAAACAAACCCACACCCTTTTATCTACAGTAGTTGTGTGTGTAGAATTTGGCAGAGATGGAGTCTGGTCACGTCCTGTAGTGGCTGCAAGTCAAAATGATGTTACTGACTTTGCTTGCTGTGCATGTTTCACTCCGGGCTCCACCTGTTCCTTTGCCCTAACCCCGTACTACTTTGGCACAGGATCCACAAACAAACGCACACAAACATGCGCTTACAAGCACACACACAAATACACAATGCTACACATGAGCACAAGCTAACACCTCCTGTCGACATAGTCCGTACATATGTAGTTTATACACACACATATACACATGCACACACAACCACACACACAAAGTTCCCTTCCACAACCTCCAACAGCTGTGACAACAGGAGGTTAGATGAGTGAAATAAATTAACAACATCTGCAGATTGCAGATTAATGGGAGAAATCATCTGTAAATTAGGCATGGAGCTCATCTGTTCATCCATGCATCGAGGACAGAGAGAGAGGGTGATACGCAAAGTCATGACAACAAGGCAGCCAGCTCCTCCGAAAGGATTAATGTCCATATTTTATATTTGCTTTAAACATCAATAATTGCAAACAAACTTATAGATGTTTTAATTAAGGATTTTGGCACATAACTACTTGGTGACCCAAGGTTGCTGGTGTGATAAAAAATGTTATGTATGTAAGGTCTAGTATGGCCAAGTATTGGAACAAACTTATTGAGTTCACTTAGTAGCGAAACAATAAAACAGTGATTGTTGCAGGAAATATTTGACTTGTTAATGACAAAAAACGTCGGATCAACTTCTAAAACATTGATATAATGCATTATGTCTAAATTACATGTATATTAGCTATAATTATCACCACCTTAACTGGAATATGCTTACAATTAATACATTCAGAATGATAATAATTAGTCTTACAGGGCATTTTGATATGAAGTACATTCAGCTGTTAATTTTATTTTATGTTTTACTTCTACATAAGTACTATAATGTGATGACTTGTACATGTAATGGTGCATTTCTATAGTACTCAGCTGCAAATTGTACTGCAATTAACCGTTCTTTATCCACAGAGCTTTCTGCATAAAGTGAATGAGGCAGGACCACAGCTAGTGCTAGTCTTTAACTTTCCTCACACACTGAAGCATACTTTATTTCACTCAGACTTCTGTATACTTAAGAGGCAAACCCCCTGCCATTACACAGACAGGACAACTGAGACTCATAATATCTCTGAAGCAATCTGACATTCAGGAAAGGAAATGGATTAGCGCTGCTCTCAGGCAGAAATTGGAGATGTGTCGTCCTCAAATATCAGATCAGGGACAACAATTATTCAATAGGTTCCAAATGATGTATCACGCTGAGTAATGTACCGTTAGCAGATAAAATATTTGAAATCAACACAAAAAAACATACATCTCAGAAACCATGCTGAACTCTAAAAGCTCTGAGCAGAGCTCTTTCTTTCTGCTGTGTGATAACAAGCGTTTTGACCATGTGGCTGTTCCTTTTTTCACTTTCCTAGTTAGGCTTCAGCCAGGCCAGAAAGTCAATCAAAGACTTATTCTCAGAAGTCGAGGGAACGTCTACGCCAAATCCCCCTTCTTGAGGTCATGTTCCAAAAAAGAGCAACACACGCAGTAGATAGTATAGCATCCATATACTTGTTTTAGAACAATTAAGTAAATCCATCAAACTTGGTAACTAACACTAATCAAGACCAAAACACTGTGCGTGACAGATGCAGAAACATTCAAATGAACATAAATATAGACACATTAAAAAGTACAATTACACAATTACAAGACTAATTGCGATAAAATATTGTAAGCAAAAGCAAAAGGGAGGGATAGCCATGAGTTGTAATTAAAAAAGACTAAAAGCTAAAAGACTGGAGATGACTAACTAAATGGTGATCAGAGGGAGGGAAAGAGTGGTGATGAGCAGATGCTACGTTGCACTGAAAAGGAATTTCTTTTAACAAGGTCCATCTCAAGTTTGCCAAACTTTTAGCCCAGGAGCTAAAAAAAATGCATCTCCGACCATATGGCACCCAGATTGTGAAAATGTCAAATGTGTTGAGAAAAAAAAAGACAAGATGAACGATCTTTTAATTTGAAGTAGAGATTGTGAAATTCCTTTAAAATAATGTTACAATTTCCTGTAGCTGCTCTTCAGTATGTTGGGGTTAAATACAATGAACCTTACCTGATCTCAAACAAGTTGTTTTAGAGGAATGTTGTAATAGGAGACACAAAGAGGAAACATACCTGTGTTGTATATCTTTGATGAAAGTTGCAGGGCAAAGACGCAAAGAAAACTGTCTTCCTCGATACTGATAATTGCATGAAAGTTGGAGGTCAACATACTGTAGATGGAATGAGGTACTTTCAGTAGAGTTTCACTTTTGTTTCAGAACACAAGAACATCTTTAATGAAGGCAATGAAGTACTGTCAGGCTGGATCCAGTTTGTTTGGATAGGTTTACCAAATCAGAACTTACCTGCCATTATGCCATTGTTTTAATTATTATTTGAAGACCCGGATGTGGATGGATAGTTTTTGTATGAGACATCATTAAAGCATAACTTAACATATTTTACTTTTTATCTATCCAGTGTAAGCACATTTGGAGTTATACCAGAGTGTGTAAGTGACACTATTGAGCATTAATTAAAATGTCACACTAACAGACTTTACCTGACAAAGAATATACACCGAAATTAGCTCTGCAGTTGAGGTTTTGCTCCCAAAAAACATACTTCACATTATATATAATTAGAAATTTATTTGGGTTTTTAATGTTTCAATGTTCAAGATAAAGAATGTGTGTCCAAGCTGCAAGCTCTTAATTGTATCTGGATGATGGGAGAAAATGTCAAGATGCCATTGAGTGGCGAAGAACATCATTGTATTAAAAGTCAACAAGATATGTGACACACAAACAATATTAAGTGAAGGACACTGTGAAATAATGAGTAATCTTTAGGATAAGGTATAACTTTTTGTTTCCCAAGCTTTTCTAATGCAATCTGATTTTGAGACACTGTAGGGATTTGAATCCATGTCCTGATATGTGTTCAAATCCACTAACCCACAGCACCACTGATAATGGACAAAGTCAGTTACAAGTAATTACATGCTGGTGAAGAATTAACGTTTTCAGAAATGATTGTAGTCGCATAGAGATCAAAGCAGTGTATTATATCAGTAAGGAAGAGGGGTTTTTAAAGCGTTAAAGTGCAAAAGTATATAAAATACGCCAATGCTCCTCATTATTTTTTAAATGTTGTTTGACCTATATTTGCCTTTCACTATTCCCAAGTTATTCTTCACATATAAGTACACCACAATAATAGTACTTGTATTAAAATGTCTCAGAAAAAAATACCTGGCACAAGTTCGTTTTAAAAGAAGGCATTAAAAAAATCTCATTCAAAATGGCATTACGTGGTGAAAACTGATATGAACTAGTACTGTGGATTTCGTAAAAGAACATGACATCTCCACTGAAAGTCTGACTCACACTGATGTGACTGCAAATCCATGACGTGTGTTAGTCTCGATTAAGGTTTCACTGTTATACAGCCATTTTCCGGTTTTATTGATTCTGCAGCGGCACCTAGAGTCTTTAGTTGGCACAGAATTGTTCCCCCCTTGAAAATGAGCTACAAGCTTAGCAATGGCCTGTAAAGAGCCCCCGCCTTCACGAGGAATAGGCATGTAGCAAGGGGGCCGAGCCATTACCATAGCACCAATTGACTTGACAAAATCATATTAAATTGGACACTATCAGGGATATTCTTTTTCAGCCGAAACAAAACATTGTCATTAGGTTTAGATTGATAGAAAGACATATCGTATACTAAGAGTAATTGAGATTCTAAAGACTCTAATGGCATCACAAAACATGCAACCTCCTCGTCGGGTCGACCCCCACCGACTGCAGCGATGTGGAGACATTCATATCTGCGGATACACCCGAGACAAGTCACGCTTCAAAGGTGAACGTCATCAGTGTATTCCCACTTGTTCATCTACCTACCTCACCTTGACTCTATGTTGAAATATGATGTTTAGCAGACAGTGTGATATCATCATTAAAAAGAGATTGTGAAACCATATAATCCAACATCCATTTTGACGATTTTAAAGCATGCTATCACCGGCCATATTAACATGCTGTATTGCTTCTGAATGAAAAAGGTAAGGGCCAAGCTAATTATATGGAGCCTGAGCATATTGATCCAGTGGGACAAGCTTTCTAATCATTGGCCTCATGCTGATAAAGTGTACATGGCGGTTGAAGTCAATCTGTCAATTCCATTTCAGCCAATATGCTCTTCTTGCACCGATGATTTCTCTTTAGGCTTGCTCCCGCAGCAGTAATCTCATTTGAAAGAAGTTTTCTGTATATACTTTGAAAAAACTTGAGCTGGACCATGTTCTAAAAAAAGCCATATTGATTTAAATCGGTTCTTTTTCTTTGTAATGAAGACTGCTTTTTCTACTCTAAAACGTTTGTCCTTCAAGCAAACCCAAAAGTTCCTAATTTATTCACATAAATGCATGTATAAAGGGTTCTTCTTACTCTGTGTCTTGCTGACCTTTATTCAATGATGTCTGCCATTGTTCTTTCTCTTTATGTCAGCTCTGTGTATACTATGTCATGCTTAGCTTTGCCCTAATTTTCCTCTGCCGTGCTCTTTCAAATCAAGTTTATTTGAATGAATTGTTTGATGCTAATAGGCCATCACATGATATTGATGAAAAGGAAGAACCTTGGCATCTTTGCATTCCCTCTGAGCTCAAAACTAATTGCCTTAATTGATTGCTTTCAGCTTCAATGCAGATTGTTTCATTGTCTGTTTCGTTTCTGTGTTATTCTAAAAATACCTTAGCCTGCTTGTATTTTTGAGATAACCGTCTTGTCGTGTTTGTGTCTAATCTGACCGAATGTTTTTTGTGTAATATAAGAGAAGTTAAAACAGAACACTCAAATTTGACCAGGAACACCAGAGTAAGGGGGAACAATCAAACCCGACAGGGGGGTAAAGGAGAACTTTATTTGATAGTTGCAGTTTAAAAATAATGCTTACGTTTTTACTTGCCCGTTATCATTCATGTGAAATGTTATGATTTTTCATATTAGAAAACAGCCTTTCAACCTGTAATATTGTATCATCTGGCTGTTGACACTAGGCTGGTGAAAAAAGTCCTTGCTAACCACAATACTAAGCTAAAGGCTAAGGCTATTGCCATGGACCTGGTTGCCCAAGCAACAGTACTTGCAAATTATGAACTTTCAAGGAATAGGCGGGATAGGAAGTGGGTGGCATGAAGGGATGTTTGTTCTTTCCTTGTTTTGGTTGTTCAATGCTTTCATCCCACAACTTCTTTAATCTTTCTATTTATTTCACACACACACTGGATCCACCTATAGTAATGCCTCCTTCCCTGTGTGCTATCGCTACATGGTTTTATCTGTTTGACATACATGATTTGACTTGTCTTATCGTGCTGTAGTGTGAGCCGTGTTTGAGTGTATGGAAGCGTGCTGGAAATCGTTTGCATATGTGCATGTGAGGTCCCTACCCCTCGTCTCAGCAGGCCGCTGGTACTAGCTCCAGTGTCAGCTGTCTCTCTGTGTGTCCCTGGTTCACGTGACAAGATAGCTTCTCATGTCATATCATTGTTCTACCTCAGCGCTCAGACACCAGTCTTCTGGCTCGGCTGGTTGATTGGATAGCTCTCTCCAGAGTAGAAAAGTGCCCAAGAGATAAAAGCAACAATGCTTATCCAGCTGCCATGCATGGGGGATGTTAAATGTCTGTCTATTGGCTGATGCGTGTCCTTCCAGTATTTTGGGATAGCTACCTCTAAAACTCACAGAGGCGTGAGCCTAAAAAAGAAAGGCATTCACTTCTATTTCTATATTATCTTACCCAAGGGCATGCTGAAGTAATGAATACATCATTCTGTTATCTGGAGTGAGCAGTACACTTTGCCAAGTGGACTTAAACGATTTCTGGAAAGTTTTACATTTAAAACATGTGCAGTCCTCCCTTTGTACATTAAAGTAGTTTATCTGTGGCCCTCTGAATTGCCTCTGAGTAAAACCATGTCAAGGTGATCTCCGTTGATATCCTTCACAGAATGTTAGTGTGTGTGTGTGTGTGTGTGTGTGTGTGTGTGTGTGTGTGTGTGTGTGTGTGTGTGTGTGTGTGTGTGTGTGTGTGTGTGTGTGTGTGTGTGTGTGTGTGTGTGTGTGTGTGTGTGTGTGTGTGTGTGTGTGTGTGTGTGTGTGTTGATGAGACTTAGGGGAAAAGTGAGAGACTTTAAAAAAACGTTTGAATACAAAGTCATATCAAAGATTCAAAAGGAGAGCTAAGCTTATTCCCATCCACAGAAAAAGGTGTGAGATTAGGTCCTTTACACCAAATTCATATTAATGTGGATTTGGAGAGGACAGAACTGAAGATAAAAAGAGGGGGGGGGGGCACTGAATTTGCATATTCAGGTGATGTCCTTGGCAAATATTAAAGCTTACACAGCCTTCCTGAAGAAAAAAAAATCCATGATCCCTCTCCACACCCTGCTTTTGGATATATTCAGTTTCCACACTCTAATTTTGCTCAATGGCCCACACAGTGTCTTCTTCACACACTATCTTGGGACACAGAATGTCTATTTTAGTACAAATTAAAGTCTGACAAAGGCATTTGAAAGCACAATAGTGCTGTGGTTGGGGAATGGGGCTAAGCCTGTGAGAAACTGGCCCTCAGGGAGGCAGAGGACTAGAGAGTGGGACACCAGGCAATTCATAAGCGACTGGGAGTGCTGTGATCCATAGCAGCCACCAGCATGCTAATGTTATTCTTCTGACTGGATATGTCACTCTTCTTCCGGATGTGAGTGCATGAGGGTGCCAGTTTAATCTCTCATAACAGATGTTCAGACGAAGACAATCGAATGTAACTTTCCTTGTTGCGTCAATTAATAATGTATTTTGACCAGTGGCGAGCCGTCAGGGCCCTCTAGGCCCTCTGTGAGGGCCTAAGATATTCCAAAAAATAATATTTAAAAACATTAAAAAAATATATATTTTTTTTAAATATATATTTTTTTAATATTATTTTTGTTATATTTTTCATTAGTTTTACCGAAAAAAAAACTTGATTTAATAAAATAACATTTCCAAATAAATAAATCCTTCGAATCTGCCTGTTCAGTCTCTGTTTGAATGTGGGTTACATGAAAGAAGCTCGTCTGGCCCTCTCTGCGATTCACAGAGGGCCAGCTATAGTAACTGAACGAGAGAGTAATGTCAAATGACAGTACAATTGACCAATCATATCTTCCCTCTAAATGGGTGGGTTTTATTATCGCGGACTAGATGACAAGTTCCGCCCGCTGTGAAACTTTTCTTGTTTCCATAGCAACAACAACTTCCTGTCAACAGCGTGAACTCGCCTTCAAAATAAAAGCATGCCAAATTACACTTAAGACATACAACTGCAACGAAAGTAACAAACACAATGCAATATCATTTTCAATGTCAAAGAACACAAATTGGGTTCACAGGTGTTGTTTTGTGTGGTAGAGGGTCGCTGTCATTGATGCGTTTTGCACCCTGGGCCGTTGTTTTGATATTCCGCTGAAGTATACGCTGTGACGTAATAACTCTTTTTTTTTCTTTTTTTCGAGGGAAGGGGTGGGGGTCAGAGGGCCTAGGTATAAAGCTCACGGCTCGCCACTGATTTTGACAGTTTTATTCTAGATCAGTAAAAGCACTCAGAATGTACACTTTTTTGATAGAGCTCTATGAAGAAAGCTTGGTTGGTTCTCATTATGTTACCAATCACAACACTGTCTGGACCTCTTCACACTCGCATACTCACATGCTTAACGAAAACAAGACAGAGATTATAATATTTGGAGAGTCTGAACTCCTGGATGGCTTTAATAGTGTACTCGGCCCCTTAGCCTCCTACAGCCGTCCCTCTGTCAGAAATCTTGGAGTAATCTTTGACAACTGTTTTAAATTCGACAAACAAATAAGCTCAGTTGTCAAGACAAGCTTCTTCCAGCTGCGGCTTCTGGGGAAGGTAAAGGCCTATCTTCCCAGTAAGGAATTTGAACAGCTAATCCACCTATTTATAACGTCTCGCTTAGACTACTGTAACTCCCTGTATATTGGTGTTGATAAGTGTTTGATCCGTCGCCTGCAGCTGGTCCAAAATGCGGCTGCACGCCTTCTTACTGGGAAGAGACGTTATGACCACATCACACCCGTTTTGGCAGACCTTCATTGGCTTCCTGTCAGTTACAGGATCCAGTTCAAGTACTTACTTGTTGTTTTTAAATCATTGCATGGACTGGCACCACATTACCTGTCTGAGTTGTTGCACCGCCATGCTCCAGCTAGAGCATTGCGATCAGCTCAGCAGAATATGTTGGTGGTTCCTCGGTGCAGGAAAAAGACCCGAGGTGACAGGGCTTTCAGTGTTGCAGCTCCCAGACTGTGGAACAGCCTCCCAGTACATATCCGGACTGCTGAGTCAATTGAACTTTTTAAATCTCAGCTAAAAACTCACCTCTTTGCACTGGCTTTTAATACTAGTTGAACATTACATTTTTACATTTGTATGTGTTTTTTTTTTAAATATTTTTCTAGTTATTGTGCTTTTTATCATGTTTTTAATTATTGTTTTATTATTGTACTCCCATTGTGTTATTTAATATGTATTGCCTGTACAGCACTTTGGTCAACTGAAGGTTGTTTTAAATGTGCTATATAAATAAATAAAGATTGAGATTGAGATTGATTAATACAGCCATGTACCTGGGAAACCTGAAGTGCCTGTTGAGTTCCCGCAGTTGAAGTCAAAGCCTGAGACAGCTGCCATACTAGTAGGCATAACAAAGTATTTTCAGCCCTGCTAGCATATGACTGCAGTAATGACATAGTCTATGGTTTACACTGACTGCTAAGATACATGATATAGTGTCATCAATTAAAACTTTGACGCATTGTGTCACAATAATAAACAAACAAAATAAACCTTAATCTGAGTAAGAAATGTGGATGGATATCAGCAATTACCTTGTGTGAATCTTGTATCTTGTTTATTCACTCTGACCCTGTTGCTGCTATAAATGCCTGAATTGCCCCAAGGGGATAAATAAAGTACCATTGTATCTTAAACGTGCAACAGAGGAAGGGGCCACTGTTTTAAAGTTGGGAAAAAAAATGTTTTTAAGATGCTTTCTATTCGTAGAAATCACTCATGTTGGTAGTCTTGCATCATATCACAACACGTGAATCTGACCAATCTCCTTCCACTCCCCCGGTCCACACAACCCCTCCCAATGCAACGTCACCTCAGAGCAGCCCTGCTCAACACACGCTCCATCCACAATAAAAGCCACATTCTGAATGAATTCATTAAAGACAATAACCTGGACTTTCTGTATCTGACCGAAACGTGGCAAAAACCCCTGGACTATTTTTCTTTAAAGTGGACCTATCATGCTATATTATAATAATATAGTGTAGGACCATACCTATATAATGGCGCGTTTCCACTACACGGCCTCGCTCGGCCCCGCTCGGTATGGCTGGGCCTCGTTAGGACTGGCTCACTTTATGGCGCATTTCCATTACAGTTTAGGAACTGGGGTAGTATCTATAGTAACGCAGTGTAGGCGGAGCCGTGACGTGATCTTCAGAGAACCCCAGAAAAACAACACAGCCGTTAGCTGTTAGCACTCAGAGCTCACAGCTCCTCATATATGTTCAGAAACTAGACAAAAGTTAAACAAGTACAAACCACAGACTTCCTGTGTCATGGTGAATACAGTCGCTGCTTTATTTATGTCTGTATAGGCCGTTGTTGTGAGTGTGGACGGTCGGAGCATATACTGCGTTAGCTTAGCCAATCTCCATTTAGAACACACGCATTTTAACAGCCTGCCGTCTGTCTGCAGACTTGACAAAGCATTAATTCATGGTTTTTACTAACCGGTATCAGTATGTTGTTACTTCGGCATCATTTTGAAACGTGTATTACAATTAAATCACGGTCAAATATGTCCATCTTGTTGTAGTTGTAGCCCCCTTGCCAGCGATGCTCTCTCTAGTTTAGCATACTCAGCCCGACTCAGCCTCGTTGTCTCTGGCCCTAGACCCGCGATTTTATGAGGCCAGAAAAACTGTGAATAAGGACCCGCCGGCCGGTACTAGGCCAAGTGGAAACGCAACCAAAGACGGGCCGCTGACGTCACAGCCCTCTTAAACTGTGCTCCGCGCTGTAGTGGAAACGCGCCATAAGGCATATTTATACTTTTTTTTTTTCAAAATACCAAACAGATCATGCATTTTAGCCACTCAATTTGCACTATTTTACCCCTGTTTTTGCAAGGGCTGATTCTGTGAGAACAGCACCACCTACAGGCCTGGCATATGTACTACAGCGTCTCCAGCGCTTTCGAACGGCAATGGCCGTGGCTGTCTCCTCCTGATTGGTGGAGTTGGCCCAATAGCCGTAGCGCCACTGTCCTGACGTCAGGACAGTGTTCAAATCTGGATCAGTTTTTATCAGATCCGTTGCAGCCCCTTTTTTAGAGATTTGGGTATGGAGGAAAATAGAGAGGGTTGTGTTTTCTGACACTTGGTGAGTTCCCTGGAACACCGGGGACACATATTCATGTATAAAAGACGTACAAAAGTGCATTTTGCATGATAGGTTCCCTTTAAATCAAATCACCCCAGCAGGATTCACATACATTGACAAACCTCGCCCACAAGGGCGGGGTGGTGGTATAGCTGCTATTATCAGAAAGGAAATAAAAACTACCATAATCCCCATCCCTGATGTTTCTTCATTTGAACACCTGATCTTCAAACTCTCTGGTCCCACTCCCCTGGTCACAGCCATCATCTACCGTCCCCCGAAGCCAAACCCCTCCTTTCTCTCCGACCTCTCTGACATTCTCACTCAGCTTTCTGCCATATCCCCATCTGTTCTCCTCTTAGGTGATTTTAACATTCATGTTGACGACCCGACCTGCAAATATGCCTCTGAATTTAAGGAAACCCTTCACTGCTGCAACTTCTCTCAACACATCAACTTCCCAACACACAGCCGTGGTCACATCCTGGACTTGGTCTGCTCCACTGGTCTCACCATCCATCATCTGTCCAGCCTCAATCTCCACATCTCTGATCACCTGGGCCCAGGAGTTCAAAACTTTTAATCTCAATCAGATCCGATCAGATTTTAAAATCCCATTTTTTGTGATCCAGGATCAGACAAGTCGGCCAGATTTTGTCCCTGTAGTTCAAAGCAATTCAGGATAGGATCACCCTGATCCAGATTACGACTTTTCAAGATTACTAGATCCTGAATATCAGTGCTTTAATCCTACCGATCGCCATCTAGTGGATATGAAAAATAATACAAGGAAGACAAGAGACCACATTGCAGAGACATCTATAATGTCTAATTATATTTTTTTATTTGAAAGGTGATGACAGATGATGGACTTTTTTTTGGTTGAAGATATTTTTATTTTAATCTAAATTACATTTGTGATTGACAATCTTTGTTGTGATACTTTTATGAGCATAAACATTTGGTTGAAAACAAAATAGGCCACCACAAACGTGAGCAAAAATGGAAAAATAAAATGTATTTCCCATGAAGGCTAAAAATTGTGTATTATTTCAGTTAACAAACTTTGCCACCTTATTTAAATTGAAACATATTTTAAAATAAATTGTACAGTACATTTTGCTCTGGTAATCCACTGGAAATCCACCCCTCTGGTGGGATCAGCATAATCCGTTTTTTTTGGGATCAAATTGATTCCAATCCTGTGTTGTCGGTTTGAACTACCCATTTTGAAGATTTGATCCAGATTAAAGCTTGGATTGGATTTCCTGATCTGATCGGATATCAAAGTGATCCTAATCCTGTTTTTTGGTTTTGAACTACCCAAAATCCAAATCTGATCTGATAGGGATTAAAAGTTTTGAACTCCTGGGCCCTGGCCATCATCATGGACATCAACATCCCCATCCCCGCCCAAAAGCAAAAACGCACAATAACCTACAGAAATCTCAAATCCATCTCACCTTCAGCAATCACTGCCTCCATTACCTGCAAGATGTCTGTCTCCCCCCCCCCCCCCCCCCCCCACTTTCTGAAAACCCATCTGAACTTGTGGACTATTATAACAGCACCCTCTCCTTCTGTCTCAATGAACTGGCCCCCACAAAAACAAAAAATGTCTCTTTCATACACTCCGCCCCCTGGTATACCCCCGAACTCCGCCAAATGAAATCAAGGGAACGTCAACTTGAACGCCAACACAAGAAAACCACACTAACAGTCCATCTTCAAATCTACAAAGACTATCTCCAGCAGTACAGTAACGCACTCAAAGCAGCCCGGTCTAATTACTACTCACAACTCATTCAGTCTGGCTCCAGCAACCCCAAGCGTCTCTTCTCCACCATCAGCAAACTTCTCAAACCCTGTGACAATGCCACCTCATCCTTCACCACCGAACAGTGCAACTCCTTCCTCTCGTTTTTCCAAACCAAAATCAGCAACATTTACAGCAATCTGACACCCTCATCAGCACCCCCCACCTCCCCTCCTGGCTCCCCCCCTTCACCTCACAGCCCCTGTCCCACTTCTCCCCTGTGACCCCCATGCAACTGTCCGACTTCATGACTGGAATTAACTCCACCTGCACACTTGACCCAATGCCCTCCAAATGTGTTAAAGAGAGCCTCCCTGCCATCTCCCAACTCATCGCCATCATCATGAACTCCTCCCTCAGATCTGGATCAGTTCCCCCCTCTCTCAAACTGGCTGCTGTCACACCCATTCTCAAAAGACCTGGACTCACACCTGACATCATGTCCAACTTCCGGCCCATCTCAAATCTCCCCTTTCTGTCAAAAATACTTGAACGTGTCATTGCCTCACAACTAAAATCCCACCTCAGCTCCAATGACCTCTTTGAGCCATTTCAATCCGGTTTCCGATCAAAACACAGCCCCGAAACAGCTCTTCTGAAAATCACAAACGACCTCCTCCTCTCCTCTGACTCCGGCAACCTGAACATCCTCATCCTCCTCGACCTCACCACAGCATTCGACACCATCAACCACACCATCCTGCTGCCCCTCCTCGAATCATCACTCAACATCACCGACACTGCACTCTCCTGGCTGAAATCCTACCTCACCGACAGACATCAGTTTATCAACATCAACAACTGCACCTCTTCCACTGCTCCTCTGTCCCAAGGCGTCCCCCAGGGTTCGGTGCTTGGCCCCCTCCTCTTCATCCTCTACATGCTCCCCCTTGGCATAATAATTAGTCGCCACAACCTTCAATTTCACTGCTACGCCGATGACATCCAACTTTATATCTCAACAAAAACCATCACCCCCACAACTCACTCCACTCTCACCAACTGTCTCTCAGAAATAAAAGCATGGATGCAAACAAACTATCTCCAACTGAACAGTGCCAAATCAGACATCATCATCATCGGCCCCCCATCCCGTACCAAAGCCATCCAGAATTTCAACTTCACCATTGACAGCCACACTCTATCTCCCCCCCTCACATCCGCAACCTCGGAGTCATCTTCGACAGTCAGCTCAAATTCAATCATCACATCACCAGGACCGCCTTTTTCCACCTCAAAAACATTGCCCGTCTCCGTCCATCACTCTCCTCCTCTGCTGCTGAAACCCTGATTCATGCATTCATCACATCACGACTTGACTACTGCAATAGCATCCTGAGTCTACGGCATACCATCCAACCTCCTCAATAAACTCCAACATATCCAGAACTCTGCGGCCCGCCTCCTCACCCACACCCGCTCCCGAGACCACATCACTCCCGTCCTCCAGAACCTCCACTGGCTCCCCGTCCGTCAAATAATCCACTTCAAAGTCCTCCTGATTACTTACAAAGCCCTCAACAATCAGGCCCCCCCCTACCTCACAGACCTGCTGCACCACCACACCCCTTCCCGCTGTCTCCGCTCATCAGAAGCCAACCTCCTATCCATCCCCACCCGCACCAATCACCGGACCTGGGGGGACAGAGCCTTCTCCGTCGCTGCCCCCTCCCTCTGGAACTCACTCCCACAACCCATCAGACTGCACTGACCTCACCACCTTAAAAAAACTCACAAAAACTCACCTCTTCAATCTGGCTTTTAATGTGTGATTGTTTTTGTATTATTTGACTTTCTTGCACAGACAGTCTTTCCTTTCAAAACCAGCTTCAATCAAATGTGTGTTAACTAGACTAGAGCGCTGATTTGGATCGCACCATATGCAGTATGCTGTAATGCAATTGGCTGGTAGCTTACCACTTTAGCTTCTCAATTATTGCTCTGGAACTCATCTGCAGATTGATTTTGTTATAAACTAATCAATTGTGACTGGAAATGCTGATGCTTTAGGTTTCACCAAAGCTTTTTCATAACTGCATGTCCTACACTTGTATTCTCTGCAAGTTACGGTATTCAGGATGCAGACAATAAACACAAGAAAGAAATTATGAGGATTTGCCACATTTCGCTCTACTTGTTTAATCAACTGCTCTCCAAATAGCAACCTGTAGGAGCTTTAGTAAACACTGTGTCAATGTTTTGGCCTAAAGCAACACATCAGAAGAGAAAAGTAGTAGTTTAATATGAACCTGCACAGATTATTTTGTCGGTATTATTACTTTTTTCCCTCCCAATGATCACAGAAAATAACACAACACAGAATGCAACACAGAGAAATGTGTGCAGGAAAAAAGTTCATCCCAAATATATAAAAAAAAAAGGATTTATGTATAAAACACATCAAATGGTCTTATACCTAAATTAGATTTTGTCTCCATCACATTAAATATTGTCTGTCCTTCGATTTATGTTTTGTTTAAATTGTGCCGTTTTTTTTCTCCCAGTGGTGTCCTGTCTAAGGTTTGACTATGGCTTGTACAGGTTTATTGTTTGCTGGCTTTTATATCTTTTTGTAAATATTTAGTACATGTATGTGCTGCCTCTATCTCTTAATACATCTGTTTTAAGCCAAGTTTCCTTTGAAGGAACAATACAAAAAAGTGAAGTGATAGGTGAACTTTAAGTATTTTGCTCATACACAAATAAGGATTTATTTTAGGCTTAAAGAGAGATTAAATGTTATCTAAAGATGGATAGCTTTGTGATTTGATGCTTCAATGAGCCATGACTGTGTGCTTGGGATATTCCTAACCACACTTTCCCTAACCTTTTTTCCATTTGTTCAGTTGTATGGATCTGGGATAAATGAGGTGTGGGAGTAATCAAATGCTTCAACCTTTTCTATTAAATGATAAGAAGGCCATGTGCTGACAGGTCTGCATGTTAAGAGCCTTGCCATTGACAAATACAAGACACATTCTTTTTTCTGCATTGTTCTTCATCAAAGGCAGCCCAAGGGTGAAGGTTATATGGGCGAATGTCTAATGATGCATGGACCAAATCAATCTATTTCCCCTCTTCAGTGTCTTTTTTCAGAACGATAAATGAGGAGGGCTTTCATTTCCCATCTGTACTCCACATGTTGTGTTCATGTGTCAAGGAAGGTTTGTAGCCAAATAAATATCAAAGTGAACTCAGGGTGCTTTACATTGAAATGCAGACAGCCACATTGCTAGAAAAAACATAATTATTCAAATATAACTCAACAGAGAATATTTATATAAAACCCAGAAAATGAGACTTTAATCTTGTTTAAAAGTTGTTGCACTGCTAATCACTGTGCTTCACACGTAATGCTCATAACTGTGACCTGAAAGTAAATGTGTTTGTGTCCTTCAAAAAAACAACTTGCTTCCCCTGCACTTTAACATTTCATTGCTAATTCATTCTTACTTTAATATTTATCATGTTTTTTGTCATTTCAGTCGGACAGCACTTTAGGTTTTAAGTCATTTAAACCATTATCAGCTCATTCTAGATCATTCCATACAAAGTACCCTACAGTACAACGAATGCATTTTGAATGTGAGCATCTACAGTGTTATTGTAAATTAACAAAGGAGGCAAGATGTAAGCATGCATGTATTCAATTCACACTAACACTGAACTTGATTACAAATGTCCTTCTGAGCTGACAGGATATATGGCAAGTGGACTGTCTGTACCTGGCTGACTTATATCAGAATACATTTAAAAAGGGATCACGTAGACTTTATAAGGAGTATACAGGAGGGAACTGCATTTGTATTGATTCCTCTCCCTTTTTCCCTCAGGCTATACATGTAGTAAAACTCAATCATTGCACAAACAGTTAATGGGTCCTCAACATATTGGTGTCGAGCCCTCTCCAGAGCCAAAGGAGCTGCTTGTCATGAAGGTGACAAGGAGGCATATGGTACAGCCAGAGTAGAACTGAAAGTTGGCCCAATGAGACAAAGCTGAGACGTCAAGAAAGACTGGAAAGAGAACTCAATGCCAACAACTCTAAAGATATGTGGCAGTCAACGCAGAGTAAAGCAGATTATGATAGTAACAGTGCCCCCGTCACGAGAAACTGGTTCAACAGCATCAATAACAACATCCCTAAACTCTCACAAGTTTGCATACAGAGCCAACAGATCCACTGACGATGCTGAATGCTGCCCTCAGCCCTCACACATCTGGAAAATAACAACACTTCAGCTCAATATTCAATATCTCCCATTGTCTAACTGAGCACTCTAAGCACCAAACTCTGCAACAATTGATTAGTCTTCATCACAAGACTATCTCAGGATGTTCAGATTGGTCAAACCCCAGGTCTGTGTGCTTTGGTGTTTCATATGCTCTTCTTTTAGTTGTATCGTTGGTGTGGATTGTTACATTTAATACAAGTGTCCATCAGATGGACGAATGAAAGACACCTACAAATGTGTGCCCTCTAGGTTGCCCTAGCAGTAAACCGTAGCAAATATAGTATACCATATTTAGTAATTTAGAAAATGTACAGTACTCATGCATAGAAAGCCAAAACCTCAGCTATTTTTCATGTTCCTTTAAAGAATAAGGTTGGCTTTATTTTATTATATTTTATTATTTGATATTACATTGTATTATATCAAATCAAATCAAATCAATATACATATGTACATATAATAAAAATACCCTACAGTAAAGACACTTTACAGCAAATACAACAGCACAGTTTGTTCAGAATATCAGTATGAGAAAACGACACCCTCTGTCCTTACCCTCACATCGTACAAGGAAAAACTTCCGGAGAAAAACCCACATTTCAAAGGGAAAAATGGGAGAAACCTCAGGGAGAGCAACAGAGGAGGGATCCCTCTCCCAGGACGGACAGAAGTGCAATAGATGCCGTGTGTAAATCGAAGAGATAATACATTTTACAGCATAGGTAAACCGAATGTTTGGAAATGCATGTGTCTATAATAAGAAGATGAATCCATCCAATTATATCCAACGCATTCTATAAAAAGACCAAAACCAACAATGATTTGAGTAATGTGTCTCTATCTGAAGCCTGATACTGTAGCTCAGGGGTGCCCAATACGTCGATCGCAAAGGTAGTGTGGGTAGGTCGCATGGCATTGAAAAAAATAATAAGAAAAAAGAAAAATAATAATAATTTTGTTATTATTATTTTTTTTAAGTTAGCCTAACA